GGAAGGAACAGTTGGGGGAAGAGTGATCTGGGCGGAAGGAACAGCAAATACCAAGGTCCTGAGACTCAAAAATTGAGATGTGTTCAAGGAACAACAAGGCTAGAGCCTAGTGAGCAAAGGGGAGGGGCTGTGGGGAGGCAAGAGGATTATTTTATGATGATAGTATTTCTGCCCTGGGGATTGAAGAGGAAAGAGCAGTAAGTCTCAGCTGCTTTTCTGCAAATGATCTCTTTTCTTCCTTTTTAAAAGATTTTATTTTATTTTTATTTATTTTTTTAAGATTTTATTTATTTGCGGGAGAGAGACCGAGAGACAGAGAGCATGAGAGGGAGTGAGAGGGAGGGTCAGAGGGAGAAGCAGACTCCCTGCCGAGCAGGGAGCCCGATGTGGGACTCGATCCCGGGACTCCAGGATCATGACCTGAGCTGAAGGCAGTTGCTTAACCAACTGAGCCATCCAGGCGCCCAAGATTTTATTTTAAAGAGAGAGAGCGTGTGCGCACATGTGCAAGCAGGGTGGGTGCAGAGGGAGAGGGAGAAGCCTCAAGCGGACTCCCTGCTGAGCACAGAGCCCAACACGGGGCCCCATCTCAGCGCCCTGAGCCAAAATCAAGTTGGATGCTTAACTGAGCCATTCAGAAGCCCCTCCAATGATCTCTTTTCTAAATTACTTGGAAGGAGTGTGGTGTGGAAAGTCAGGAAAAAGGCAATGAAGTTTGCCCCATTACTAAGCAGGGGGGCACTCAGGTCTCCAGATGTGGTATTCACCTCCATTCTTCCTCAGTACTGAGGAGGCCAAGGTCTGACCCCTCTTGGGTCCATTAGCTTTGCTCAGGAGGAAAGGGCATCAGGTCACAGCCTGACTGCTTCTCCCTTGGCAGCGGGTCTTTTCACTCATGTGCCCTGTGGGATGGGCGACTGGGCGGGTAGACGCCAGCAGGTGTTGTCCCTTCACGAACACACTGGTTTCAAAGACGCCAGTGAGCGTTTCCCGGCACAAGATGCTTGCACTGAGCGCTCCACGGAGAGGCTCCCATTTGCGCTTAGATCACCCAGTGGTGGGACAGAGATTCTCCCATTTCACAGATCCAAAAGGTTAAGTAACTTGTTCCAGATCATACAGCAGGAAGTGGCAGGGTAAGACTGAAACCCAGTTTTCCTCTTTAACTTCAGAATTTGTCCATTGGACATGAATATTCTTTTTTTTTTTTTTTTAAGATTTTATTTATTTATTTATTTGAGACAGAGAGAGAGACAGAGAGCATGAGAGGGAGGAGGGTCAGAGGGAGAAGCAGACTCCCTGCCGAGCAGGGAGCCCGATGCAGGACTCGATCCCGGGACTCCAGGATCATGACCTGAGCCGAAGGCAGTCGCTTAACCAACTGAGCCACCCAGGCGCCCGGACATGAATATTCTTGATATCCAAAAAGTTACAGAGAATCACATGTTGAAACCCATGGACGCCATCCACAGCTCAACATATACAACTTGAAGCGCCTGTATGCCTGTGCATTCTGCCAAACCATGTGGCCTCCAAGTCCTCCTACTTGGGAAACACTGCAAGGGCATCAGATCACCCTCCACTGCAGAGTGCCAGCCAGAAATCTAGGAGGTTGAGTGCCACCTTCCTTTTCTTCAATTACCAGGTTCAATTAATTTTGATCCCTATTCCTAGTTCCACTATTACTTTTACCTCTCTCCTCTCTACATGTATCCTCTCTTACCTAGAATATTGCAATGGCCTCCTAACTGGTTTCCCTGAATCTCCTCTTCCCCGTTTCCCGTCTAATCTCCACATTATAACCACCAATCTTCTTAAGACCTTTGAGTAGCTGCCTTTAATCTTATAATATAAACAAAATCATATGCATGGCATGCAAAGTCCCATATGCTCTTTCCCCTACTCAACATTCCAACTTTATCTCAATGCCTTGTTCTCTGTGCTTTGGGGCTACTGGGCCTCTTGCAGTTCCCTATAATCCCTGTGCTCCCTCCCATCACAGGGCCTTTGCACATGCTGTTCCTCCCTTCTCCACCTGAATAACTCTTTCCTTTCTCAGGTAAACTTTCCCTGAGCCCCCTGACTGGGTCAGTCTTTGGCATTTGTCACTTTCACAACTTTATATTTGTTTGTGAGATTAATTAATTAAAATCTTTCTGTCCTAATAGGCCAAAGACCAAGAACCACTCACTTAGTACAAAATACATGCTTAATAGACAATAGCCAACGTATATATGGCATATATAACATGCCAGGCAGTGTTCCTAGCACTTCACATGTATTAACTCACTTTAAGATCTCCCAAAAGCCCTATATGAAGTAGGTACAATTCCTAGCCCCATTTTACATGTAAGCAAAGTAAGTCACACAAGCTAAGAAGTGGCACTGCTGGGATATGAATGCAGGCAGTTTCTGGAGTCTGTGTGCTAAACACTTGTGTTACAGTCCCTCACTAGCCTTTGCTGAATGCAGGCTAGTGTTGAGTGCTTTCGAAAGGGACTAGACAGCACCATCGGGAACCTTGGTTCAACTGAAAAAAAAAAAAAATCATTTCACTTGGGTTTTGGCAAGGATCTTGTATTTGACTAGAACTTTGCTGCAAAACATATTCTCTTCCCAGCATTTTATTCCAGGTACTTTATTTATTTATTTATTTTTAAAGATTTTATTTGACAGAGACACAGCGAGAGAGGGAACACAAGCAGGGGGAGTGGGAGAGGGAGGAGCAGGGTTCCCAAGGTGCAGGGAGCCCGATGTGGGGCTCGATCCTGGGACCCTGGGATCATGACCTGAGCCGAAGGCAGACGCTTAACGACTGAGCCACCCAGGCGCCCCTTATTCCAGATACTTTAAAAATCCATTTGCCGGGTGCCTGGGTGGCTCAGTTGGTTAAGCGACTGCCTTCGGCTCAGGTCATTATCCTGGAGTCCCGGGATCGAGTCCCGCATTGGGCTCCCTGCTCGGCAGGGAGTCTGCTTCTCCCTCTGACCCTCCCCCCTCTCATGTGCTCTCTCTCTCTCAAATAAATAAATAAAATCTTTTAAAAAAAAAATCCATTTGCCCTCACTGGTACTATCATGTGGAGCAAACTGCTGGGGGGCAGGAGGAAGTTGGGTTGGAGTGAGGCAGAACTGTGGATCATTTGTAGTATGGGGAGTCCACATAAGGACAACTCAAAAGCTTTTCATGGATGTCATCTTACTTAATCTTCACTGATTCCAGATAATTTACACACACAGGACAGTGCACCTCCCTTAGGTAACAGATGAGGCAAAAGGCTGGGGTTAGGAGGGCTGCTAAGCCATAGGAAACCAAGCAGTCATAGGATGGGGTGAGAATGGTCCCCACACTTTAAGCTGCAGAACTGCAAAGACTTCTCTAGCAGAGAAAGACCTCTTCCTCTTTTTTTTTTTTTTTTTTTTTTTAAAGATTTTTTATTTATTTATTTGACAGAGAGAGACACAGCGAGAGAGGGAACACAAGTAGGGGGAGTGGGAGAGGGAGAAGCAGGCCTCCCGCCGAGCAGGGAGCCCGATGTGGGACTCGATCCCGGGACTCCGGGATCATGACCTGAGCCGAAGGCAGTTGCTCAACCAACTGAGCCACCCAGGCGCCCGACCTCTTCCTCTTTTAAGGATTGAGGGTAGCTAGCCAACCTTTCCTAATTCTTGGGTAGAACCTCTGAGCAAGGACAGAGTCCCTCCTAGGTTTTCCCAGTATGGCTAGAGTAGGGTAATCTGCAAAGCTCAGGCTATATGGTAAAGAACTCTATAAACTAGCTACATCCAATTAACTCTAAGTCAATATGGTGAAAATGTAGTGATTTAGGAAATTCTTCGCCAGGAGCCCATGTATCAGTCTCAGAGGAAATCAATGTATGCACATTTTCTTTATGTGCATTTTGCTACAGAAAGGCTTTCATTAATTTCTTGCAGGATTTGAGCTTAAAAAGGCTGAGAGAGCTACAATCCTTTATGCCTGCAAACCCATTCCTCCTGGCTCACGAGTGTGCCTATATAGGGGTACCTTCGCAGGCTGAAAACATTTCTATTCCTTCAAATAGCTGGTAGCGATGGATGGGGGCATCCAAATGCCCACCCCTCCTTAGTTAGGCCTCAAAACTGCATTAACATTCACCTCCTTGAAGGGGGAAACTGCGTGTAAGGCCAAGGGCAGTCAGGGGAGCTTAAGGCCAGTCCCGGGCAGGCCACTAACCGGCTGTGTAATCTTGGACAAGCTGCATACCCCCTTTGGGCTTCAGTTTCCACACCTGCAAATTGGAAGTTGAACCGCATGGTCTTCAAGGTCCTTCCCAGCTGAGAGCCTGGTACCAAGTAGGCCTGGCCATGAAAGCAGCTTCCTGTGGGCGCGGTGCAAGGCTTTAACGGTCCCCCCTCCCCCGCTAGGGCCCGCGAAACCCTCCTCAACACGCCCCTTAGAGTGACGGCGCTCTCCCAACCGCAGCCCGAACACGGCTCCGCCCCTTCCCGGGGGCGTCCCATCGTGCCCCGCGCCAGGCTCCAGAAGCCGCGGGCGCCTCCCGCCTTTCCGCGGCCCCGACCCCGAACTCCTCTCCCCAGTTCTTCTGGGCGCCCTATCCTATCAACGTCTACTGTCCCAGCCAATCACACGGGCCCGGAGTCTCGCCTTTGGCCCACCCTCCTCCCAGCGCTCAGCCGGTCTGTGCTCAAGGCCTTTACCAGGCCAACCCAATCAGCGGCCGGCTCCCGCCTGCCCCACCCCAATCTCCCTCCCTCCGACCAATCCGCGCGCCTCATTCCGCTGCCCGCCCAGCCAACCCGGGCCTTGAAACTAGCGAGCGAATGGGCGCAGGGCGGCCCTTCAACGCTGACCGCCTGGCCAATTGGGGATTCCGCGTGGCCACGGCGGCAGCCAATCGACATGGAGCGCGGTGCCGCCGCGGAGAGGTCCGGCCCGAATATCCCTCCGCCTTCCTCCCTCCCTCTCTCTCCCTCCCTGCGAGCCGCCGTTCACTTACCGCCTCCCTTCCTTCTTTCTCCCTCCGCCACCCGAGCACCAGCCGCGCTCTGAGCTACCCCCGGGGTCCCTCCCCCGCCGCCAGAGGAGCAGCTGCTGCCGCCGCCAGCAACAAATTAGGAGGGAGGGAGGAAGCTAGGAAAAGAGGAAGGAAAGGGAGCCGGGGCGACTACCAAGAGGGAGCCGGTGAATGGGCTTGTGGTGACCCCCGCCCCCCACCCCACCCTCCCTTCCCACCCGACCCCCAACCCCCATCCCCAGTTAGAGCCGCCTCCCAAGAAGCCGGACCGTCGTCTTAGGAGGAGTCCCCGCCACCACCTCCGCCATGGAGCTGATCACCATCCTCGAGAAGACCGTGTCTCCCGGTAGGACGCGGGGGCCGGGGGTCGGGGTGAGGTGACCGGGTGGGGGGAGGGGAAACCCTGGCCCTTCTGACCCTGTCCCCTTCCCACTTTCCTTCTCCCCAGATCGGCTGGAACTGGAAGCGGCGCAGAAGTTCTTGGAGCGTGCGGCCGTGGAAAACCTGGTGCGTGCCACCCCGCCGTCCCCCATCCCGCCGTCCACCCATCCCTGCGTGCGGGCCTTCCCGCCCTCCCGGAGGCCCAGGCCTCGGGAACCCACCCCGCCCCATCCCGTCCCCCTCCTCCCCCACCCCGGTCCAACCTAACCCCGCCATCGGGAAGCCGGTGGGTGTGTCCCGCCCCGGGCCCCGGCAGCTGGCCAATGGCGCGGCGCGCCGGGGTGACTGCCGCCCAATCGCCGCGCGGCCTGAGGGCGGCGGTGCAGCGGGAGGGAGAAAGAGGGAGGGAAGGGAAGTTAGGTTGCGCGGCGCTGCGTGTTCAGCAAGGGTGGGGGTGGGGGAGCCGGGCCTAGGGGCCATGTGGAAGCTCTGAGCCCAGCTGCCCGCCCTGCTCTGACCGGGGCCGGCTTCTCCTTCCTGTCCCGTGGCCCCTGTTACTCTCTCCACCTACTTCCCAGAGTCTACCCTTTCCTATGCCCCTTGGTACTGTGCTCATGGCCAGGCCTGGCACCCGAATACCTCCTAACCCACTCCCGGCAATATTTCTCCCTTTACTGCCTGGGTATTCATCTATGGGTTATTTATTTTTTGGTGGGGGTTGGTTGGGGTTTTTTGGCTTTGTTTTGTTTTTACTTCGATGGGTAGAGACTGAATTTGTACTCATACAACAGGCTGAGGCTTCATCCTTGATCGGGCCTGTTCCCAGATGAAATCACAGAGGAAAGTTCCTCGTTTTCATATTTTCATATTTAAGGTGTACAGAAAAAATGAGGAGAAGTCCACTAGACTGGATTCTGTATAAAAATGTGGGATGGATTGGTTGAAACAGCCTGTGTGCCAGTAACGTTTCTCTTTGATGTCCCTCTTATTGCGGGGGATGGGGAACAGATGGAAGGGTGGATGATACTTGACATCTTTTAAAGGTAATAGGTAATAAGCCTAAATAACATTGTAACCCAACATGTTCCTTTGTAATCCAGGCGAAATACAAGCAAAAAAGTGACAAGGCTTATTTTATACAAACTGCCTTAAGTGGCTTTTATTGTGCTCTTATGTGCTAGCTTTTACTACTTTTAATTCTTAACTTTCCATAGAAAGGATTTCTTTTCTGCTAGTATAGACCAATAATACTTCCATGTGGGGTATCTTCCTGTTTCTGCCTCTGCTCATTTACAAGAAGCCTTTTATCCTATTCTTAACATTTTATTTTTCTGACATTCCTAACATTCCTTAGTGGTACATAATTAATAAAACTTTTAAGATTTATCTTCTGCTGTGATTGCAGGACTTGTTTTCTGCTTTTGATTTTTCCTGTTAACTTCCATTTGGACAGCGCCTTCTGCAGGGAAGAGGAGTGTATCTTAAAATTTTTAAACAGGGAGTAGTTTTGGGGACCTGTGCATTATGAAAGGTTGAGTAAGGTTTTCAGAAATGCACTATGTTCAGTGGACAGCTCAAGTCCAAAATGTGTAGGAGCCTTTAGTGTGTTAACCGTTGACTGTTAAATGTAAAATCTTTTTTCTTGGCAAATTTGCCTTGGCATTTTTATCTTTTCACTTTTTCCGTGTTTCTAAATATAATCAAATTTATAACTAAGTCTTTTTTCATTGTTCTTCTCTCATTGAACACGTAAAGTTAAAACAGAGGACTAGCCTCCTAAATCTGTTTCAGGTTTGTAAGTATTTACCTCTGTAATGCAAGATTACCTGCCTGCATGAGATTAAAAGCCGCCCTGAATATTATTCTTTTTGGACTAAGATATTTTAAATTTAGGGAAACAATTTTACGTTCTACCCTGTCTTCACATATTCATTTAACAAATATTTATTGTCAGGCATTGTTAAATAGAAGAATCCTCTGACTACTAGATTGTCAAACTTCCTTTATTTCTGGGAGATCTAATGCGAAGATTTGAGCACTAAGAATGATGTTGATAGGAAAATCTGTACCTCCTTGTTAAATAAATGCTGAGGATGCATGAGAAGAGGGTAACTTATTTGTGTACCATGTAACATTTTTATAGGAGTTTTGAAGTAGGTATTGTAGCATATTCCGAGATGTTATGATACGTTCTAAAAAACTTAGGTTTCCCCCAATGTTTTGGTGCTCCGTAAGCTATCCTCAGTTGGTAAAATTCCCAAGAGATACTTTTCATTCACAAATGCCTCTTCTCTTAATAGCCCACGTTCCTTGTGGAACTGTCCAGAGTGCTGGCAAATCCAGGAAACAGTCAGGTTGCCAGAGTCGCAGCTGGTCTACAAATCAAGAACTCTTTGACATCTAAAGATCCAGATATCAAGGCACAATATCAGCAGAGGTGGCTTGCAATTGATGCTAATGCTCGACGGGAAGTCAAGAATTATGTAAGTAACTTTATCTCCTTTTGGTCATGTTAGCCTCTGGGAATAAGAAACCTCATCGTCCACCCACCCACCCCATCCTCTCCTCCTGGACCCCCTACAAGAGACATCTTGGTCAGTGTTTTTGTCATTTACATGGGATAGAGCTGACAGTGTAATAGGTTTCTGAGACTTAAGCTTCACTTGAAGATAAAAATTGTATTTGATTTAAATTTTCTTTCTCATCTTAGCTTTTCTGTACTGTGCTGTCATTTCCCATTAATGAATGCTTCAGAAACCTAAGGTAAACTGTAGCAGTTTAGGGAACTTTAACTGGATGCCAGAATTTGTAGAATCTGTGGTGAATTGGCATAGTATACAAATTGTTGGTTCCCAAACTTGAACTCTGAGAATCACTTAGGGAATTCGCTAACAATAATATATTCCCAGGTTCCCTCCAGAGATTCTGTTTTGTTGGAGTGAGGCTCAGGAATATTTTTTAGATATTCCTGTCTTTCTAAGTGATTTTTTTCATAGTCATCCAGTCCCTGCTCTTGTTGAACTTGTGTTGTAGATAATTTTCACTCTTTGGTGGTTTAGGCTTGGCACTATGTGGAGTTCAAAGGGGAACTAAATAATCTCTTGGGGCTTTTAAGCCCAAAGAGTTTGTGAAATAAGAATATGAAGTTAATGGTGCTTTTATCTATTTAGCAAATTATGAAAAACTTTGTTTAGAAACATCTGGCTCTTAATCAGGGCGTTTAAAGAGTGGACTGATGAGTTTTGCGGAAAATTAAATGTCCCTTGCTCTGCATCATGGAGGTCTTACGACTTTGTTGTTGAGTTAAAATCCGTAATTCTAGCCGCAGCAAAAGATACTCAGAATATATGGACAGGTGTCTCCCCACCCCCCCAGTTAATGAGCTTCTTTAGTGGTTTGTTTTATGTGGATGAGGCACAGAAAATGGTAAGTCAAGCAATTAGTCCTTGGTATTTGAGGGAAAATTGGTGGGGGGGTTCCTAAATGCGTACTTGCACATGTCATCATACTTGCTGTTTCCTGGTTTGAGGTCTCAGCGTTAGGTAAATTTGTGCGCCTTAAGGGCAACAACATCTCTTTCAAGTTATATACCCCTTCTCTTTCTAGTCTTTCATGAAAGTACTCCTGACTGTGGGAACTAGGTTATGAAAGCCAACTTATTTTGAATCTTCTTTGGAATATGTAGAGCTATTTCTGTCCACATTGGGTCTGCTTATGTAATAACATTTTAATCTTTCTTTCAGTAATTTCGTACAATTGAAGTTTATTCCATCAATCACTGGAAATCTTGGTGCTTGTAGTGCCCATTCAGTTTCTCATCTTGCTCGAATCATGCGATAGTAAATGAGATGAGAAATGATTGGAACTGTGATTGACTCTTTTTGGCATATCAGTCTTAACACTTTGTAAAATTTGGATAAGACTTTGTATATGTGTTGTTGAACTCTTCTGCATGAAAGAATGTTAATCATGGCCTTTTCCCCCTTTTCATAGCACCTCTGGTAATGAATACTTTCTCAGTGTTGATGGGTATTTCTTTTTTGAAATGTGGGTCTTGGACACAGTAGAGGGTCACTCCTTTATTCCTCTTCTTTCTGATAATTGACTATTATCATTAGGGTTACCCCCTAGGTTAAAAAAACAAAACAAAAACAATCTTCCTGTACTTAAGAGTTGTACCTTTGTGGTCTCTAAATCACCTCAAATAGTATTTAACTAGGGGTCTTCCAGAAGCCATTTAAAGGAAGAAAGATAAAGGTACAGTGGGAGTCGGTGCTCTCCACATCTGTACCAGGAGATGGTGTAGTATAGTGTAAAGGCACCCTGAACTGGAACTCTTCATCAGACTTGGGTTAATACCTGTTCAGCTCCTGCTGTTTTATTTTTTTATTATTTTTTTTTTATTTGACAGAGACAGCAAGAGAGGGAACACAAGCAGGGGGAGAGGGAGAGGGAGAAGCAGGCTTCCCGCCGAGCAGGAAGCCTGATGCAGGGCTTGATCCCAGGACCCTGGGACTATGACCTGAACCGAAGGCAGACGCTTAACGGCTGAGCCACCCAGGTGCCCCAAGCTCCTGCTGTTTTAGGCCGGTCATCTTATCCCTGCCTCTCGGCTCCGTGTCTTTGACATACAGTTTTTCTTAAAGTCCATTCTAGCTGTGGGTAGCCCTAGAGAGCAAAACCTTCATTTAGAATCAGAACAGTTTGTTACTGGGCAGAGCTTTGGCAGTGGGGGCGGGCAGGGATGATGATCTACAGTATGGGGGAAAGATGGGGAGTTCATTATTATTAGCCACAAAGCAGGATACTAAGTGACCTGACCCAGTCAGCAGAGCTGGCCTGAATATCTGGCAGCTACGCTTTGTCCTGTGTTCATGCCAGGAACAGTTAACTATTTGCCTTTTGAGTGGACTGGTGATTCTTAGTGAGTTCATTGACTGAATTAGCTGATCATGGTAATAATTAACCTTAGGTCAATTGTGACTTCATCCTTTATCTGTACCTGTGCCTTTACCTTTTACATAAATCCTTGTACGATTATCATTTCAAACAAGACCTGTTTAACGATAAGCAAATCTCATTTTAATTGGCATATCTAACTAGTTCTTGGTATCTGTTGATGGTGGAGAGAAGAGTTCTCTGATTCTTGGGTAAACAGAACAAATCCTTCCAGATTGGAAGTTAAGTAAAGATTCATTCTTAGGTGTTGGTAACGTCATTAACTTTGTATCTGCATCTAGTGATGTTCCCTGACCAGGGCCTTTTATGAAAGTCACCCCAGGGGTTAAATTGTCATTGACCATAGGGAAGGAGGCTTGTTCCACATTTCATGAGTTGGAAGATCTCTTCCTTGGATTAGGCTAGACCACGATCTACTGTGAATCAGACCCATTTGAATGCCCAGAGTTAGCCTCATTCTAAAGTTCCACACTTTCTGTCCATAAAACAAGGCTGTGAGCATCCTTCCATTGTACCTTTAACAAGGAGCCTAGAAGGTGAATTTTGTCCTCTCCTTTGCCTTCTAACATTGTCATCCTTCTGACTCTCACTTTCTTACCTTGCATTGAACATTGACGTGAGATGTCTGGCTTTGGAGGAGTCCTTTTGGAAGTAGGGAGTAATTGGTTTCGTTTTCTAGGCTCTGGAACAATGTTGATTGTGCTGGTGTTGGTAGTGAGGCTGGTTGTTTTGTTTTTGTTTTGACAGCTGACTATTCTGTATATGCCTTTTTCTACTTTTGTGTGTTGCAGAAAATTCAGAGTGATGTAAGAGGTGTGGTGGTAGGCAAAATGTGTTCAAATAGTATTAGAAATTGATATCTTTCGTCTTGTTTTGTGTGTGTGTGTGTGTGTGTGCGCACAGGTTTTGCAGACTTTGGGCACAGAAACTTACCGGCCTAGTTCTGCCTCACAGTGTGTGGCTGGTATTGCTTGTGCAGAGATCCCAGTGAACCAGTGGCCAGAACTCATTCCTCAGCTGGTGGCCAATGTCACAAACCCCAACAGCACAGAGCACATGAAAGAGTCGACATTGGAAGCTATCGGTTACATTTGCCAAGATATAGTAAGTACTGCCCTCTGTATCTAACTTAACATAGCTCTGATTCCCTCTAGTTGTGACATGCGTAGTATTAGGATTGTTCTTACCTGATGGAGAAAACTAAGCTACTACAGAGTGTTTTGCAAGTAGGACTGCTTTATTTAATCTAGACTTCCATATTTGGATAGCTAACTTATCCTCACATTGCTAATCATGCCCTAAAGTAAAGAGAGTTGAGGATCCAAAGCTCAGAGTAGAAATCTGTAGGCTTGGAGAGGTATAGATTCTAGACTTTTAAAAGAGGATATGCTCTGTTGTGGAGCATCCCTGATCTGGATCCCTTTCTCACGATCCTCAGTGTACCTCAGGATGCTGTGTTACTTTCATTTACTCGTGCACAGAAACCCTTTGCCAACCCTTGCAGCAGTTGGCTTAGCCACCAGACACAGTAGTGTGTGAAATGCAGCCCTCCTGGGGCTGTGGCTGCTGCTGAGGTTACCACCCTTGGTTTCTGTTTCCATATACAGACTTTTGATGAAGCAAGGAAGTCCACACTTGACCTGGACTTAGACTACCTAGATGTTGTGCCGAGGCATTGATCCTTGGCCCTCAGAAGCTTTACTTCAGTTGATACAGGTGGCCTGGAAAAAACACCAGACTGCCATTTCCCTTTGCACAGAAGGGGGAAGAAAAAGCCAGCATTACCTCATGCCCAGAGTCGTCATGCTAAGAAATCAGATGAAGTTGATGAATTTAACTTGTTTCGGTTCAATTTTGGACTAGTAGGTCCCGGGATATTTTGCAGGTGGTTTGTCCCTAAATGGAAATGTGTGGAAAAAGATCAGAGAAAGTCATGATACTCACTCGAGTGGATTTCACAGTTAAAAGGACTGCTGATTAGTCATGAGCTCATTATTTTACTCACTGCACTTCTCTGCTTGTTTCAGGACCCAGAGCAGCTACAGGATAAATCCAATGAGATTCTGACTGCCATAATCCAGGGGATGAGGAAAGAAGAGCCCAGTAATAATGTGAAGCTGGCGGCTACAAATGCACTCCTGAACTCACTGGAGTTCACCAAAGCAAACTTTGACAAAGAGGTGAGTCTCTTTTGACAAAAAGGTGTAGTAGGTTCAGAAGGTAAGAAGTAAGAGTTAAATGAAAAGTTTTTTTTAAGTTTGTGGTCTAGAAAGTACCATCTTGTTTAGGTGCACTCATTTCCATTCTAGTTAAGATTTGTGTTGTGTGAGAAATGGCCATGGAGTAGGTGTGTTTGCTTTTGGGAGGCTTTTGGGGAAAATGTGATCTGAAGTGTTTCTAAGCTTAGGTTTCTCCTTTTATAGAGCAAAGTGTGGGTATGCTCTGGGATTTTAAAAAACATGGAAGTTGGGGCACCCGACTGGGTGGCTCAGTCATTTGAGCCTCTGACTCTTGGTTTCCGCTCAGGTCATGATCTCAGGGTCCTGAGATCGAGCCCCACGGCTGGCTCCGTGCTTAGCAGTGAGTGTACTGGAGATTCTCTCCCTCTGTCCCTCTCCCCACTCGTGCACCCACACGTTCTCTCTCTCAAATAAAATCTTAAAAAACACAAAGTTGTAGAGCTTACTTTAAAAAAACTAAACTGGCGGCTGGCTGGCTCAGTCGGTGGCGCATCTGATTCTTGATCCTCGGGGTCTTGAAGTTGAGCCCCTTGTTGGGCATAGAGTTTAAATTTAAAAAAATTATGTAAGTTGGGCTAGTTCATAACTCCTTGGAAGGTGCTTTTGAAAATGAATGTGTAAACAAAGTTTATCTTGCCTGGAAATATTTCCCCCTATTATTTAAGTTGTGTAAAAATACACAATAACGTAAAATTTACCATTTTAAGCTTTTTTAAGTGTACAGTTCAATAGTGTTAAGTTACAGTCATGTTGTTTTGCAGCCAGTCACCAGAACTTTTTCATTTTGCAAAACTGAAACTCTGTGCATTGAACAACTCCCCATTTTCCCCTTCCCAGTGGCAACTGCTTTTTTTACTTTCTGTTTCTATGCTTTTGATTATACCAGATACCTTATTTAAGTGGAATCAATCATACAGTATTTGATTTGTCTTTTATGACTCGCTTATTTCATTTAGCATAATGTCTTGGGTTCATACATGTTGTAGCCTGTGTAGCCTTTTTCAGGCTGTATAATATTTTGTTGTATGTATAGACCACATTTTATTTATCCATTTTTCTGTCTGTGGACTTTGGGGTTGCTTCCTTTCATCTTCTAACTATTGTGAATAATGCTGCTATGAACATAGGTGTACAAGTAGGTCTTTGAGGCCCGCTTTCAGTTCTTTTAGATCTATACTCAGAAGCGGAATCACTGGATTATATGATCTGCAAGTATTTTTGTGTATTTGTTTGTTGACACTTGAGCTGTGCTTTTTGCCATTTCTTGGTCTCACTGTGGACAAAGTAGGGAGGTCTAAGAAGTCAAAGCAAATTGCAATTCTAATTGCTTAGAAAACAGACTTTTTCCTTTTAGATTTCAGAAGACTTAGGATAGTAGCAAATAACTACATTGCTCTGTTCTCCTGTATCTTCCCGCATTTGATGGGGGATTTGCCACCTCCCAGAAAACAAATTTTTCTTTTCTTTTTTTCTTTTTTTTTTTTTTTAAAGATTTTATTTATTTGAGAGAGAGAATGAGATAGAGAGAGAGAGCATGAGAGGGGGGAGGGTCAGAGAGAGAGGCAGACTCCCTGATGAACAGGGAGCCCGACGTGGGACTCGATCCCGGGACTCCAGGATCATGACCTGAGCCGAAAGCAGTCGCTTAACCAACTGAGCCACCCAGGCGCCCAACAAATTTGTCTTTGAAGTAAATTTAAATATAAAGAAATGGGTTTTCCTAATGTAGGTTTTTTGTTTGTTTACCATTTTTATTTAAATCCCTGTGACCTACATTTTCCTATTTACTTCCTCTTTGGAGTCTTGTTAGTGGTCATTTTGGGGATTAAAAGATGAGGGAGCTCTTTAGAGGGCAGGTCATACAGCAGACACTGGGGGCAAGCTCTTGATAGCCTTCATGGTGCCATTACTGTGTCGGGGGAAAGCTGCTTGATTGCTTCAGGGTTATGGGGTCCCTGAGGGGAGTGCAAGGTTTTCCCTGAAGAGATAGTCTAACAATCTCCATATATATGGTTGGTAGTCTTATTCTCTTGATCTCTGTTCTTCCTACAGTCCGAAAGGCACTTTATTATGCAGGTGGTCTGTGAAGCCACACAGTGTCCGGATACAAGGGTGAGTGTGAGCTCCGATGAGAAATCTGTCTTCCATCTTTCCTGGGAAATGCCATCTCCAGCATAGTGGTTTGAAATGTTGGGAATCGGGTAACTTCAGAAATAAGGTTTGGCTACTACCGTTCTTAATAAAAGAGGAAAAAACAGTATTTGGAAAGTTAACATAATGGAAGTTGCCATCCTCTTAAAAGGTTTAAGGAAGAAATGGTTTTTGATCACCCTTGCTACTTAATTGCTCTAAGTTATACAAGTGACTGCTTTTCATTGTAGCCATTGAAACTGCTTTGATATTGCTGTAACCTAAACTGTGACCCTTGAAACAGGTGGGAGTAACATCCAGTCTGAGTGGCATTCCTGAGTTTAGGCCTCTGTAGGTTCCACAGGCACCTTTAAAGGAAAAAAAAAAAAAAAAAGGAGAGGAAAAATAAATAAGGATGGTGAAAAAAATTAAGGGAAGAGATTGATTTGGGGGAAATATTGACATTACCCAAATGTACCTCAGTTGACCCCTTTAGATTACTGACTCATTTATGTGACTTAACCTTTGTCAGACTACATTGTTAAACTAAATAGCAAACTAATCTTTTCTTTGTAAAAGGTACGAGTGGCTGCCTTACAGAATCTGGTAAAGATAATGTCCTTGTATTATCAGTACATGGAGACGTATATGGGTCCCGCTCTTTTTGCTGTAAGTATTTCTGTTTTACGTATGGGAGCATAGCTAGTTGCAAAACTTACCATTCTTGCTGTTTTGTCACTTCTGTAATTTTTTTACTTAATATTATGAAATCAAGGAAATTCCTTGAGTCTGAGTATTATGTTTAAGCCATCGATAATGTGCCAAGAAGACTTGTACTGTCTTTGTACTGGGAAAGAATATATTTTAAAAGTTCTTTTCCTATTTCTACCTTTCATTTCAGACCCAGCTTTCATAAATCTACATTTTTTGACACTTGAATATTTGTGGTTAGAAGTGGGGGGGGGTCTAACTTGAACCAGCACTTACTTACGGTCTGGGATGTCTTTTTTTTTCCCCCTCTTAAGATCACAATTGAAGCAATGAAAAGTGACATTGATGAGGTGGCCCTACAAGGGATAGAATTCTGGTCCAATGTGTGTGATGAGGAAATGGACTTGGCCATTGAGGCCTCCGAGGTGAGCCTGGGAGAGTCTGTGCGGTGAGAGAGTTGTTTCTCTGACAAAGCTCCTTTGTGGGCATTAGTCTCCTCTGGGAAAGCTTTATTCTGACTGGGCTTAGAGGGCATCTCCATTTGTAGAGATTTTGCTTTCTCTACTAGCCAGAGCCCCTCAGGAGGGAGACAGACCCGTAATGAGGCATTTCATGCTTTACCGATCACCCAGACGTGATTTATTATAAATGTTGATATTAGTACCATGAACACAAGGGGGCAGCAGGCAGTCACAGTTTAACAAGGTGACGTCCAATGCTGAATTACTTCCTTTTGGAAGTCCTAATGAAAGCATGGGATGCATAACTGACAGCTTCCTAACTCTGGTGAAGAAATTTGATAGAGACAAAGGGGCTAGTTCTGCACTTGAAATCTCTGAACTCAAGCTTTGTTTCCAGCCTTAAACTGTCTTGCGTACTTTAAGAAACACGATTTTATTTTTGGCATCATTACGTAAACTTAGTACACCTCTTGATCCAAAGGTTAGTTAGATGGCAGCTTGTTAATACGAATTGAGCTTATGAAAAAGAAAGGTAGTTCTTAAGGTTGCCTTGGTCTTTTAAGGTAGATTATATGTATGGCCTAAAAGAATCCCATTGAAGTAGACCAAAGAAATGAGCACCTCCAAAAGATCACAGTGATGGTACATTTGCTCTGTGTATTTCTGTTCAAACCCCTGGGCAGCTCTCATTGTATGCCTCTAGTATCAGCCTGTTTGCTGCTGTCCAGAATTTGCTTTTATGTTTCTCCTCAGGCAGCAGAACAAGGACGACCCCCTGAGCACACCAGCAAGTTTTATGCCAAGGGAGCACTACAGTACCTGGTTCCAATCCTCACACAGACGCTAACTAAACAGGTGAGTTACCTTGCAAATCGAGCAGGTTAAGCTGTGAGACATTGTTGAGGATTAGTTTACTGTGCAACAGTTTCCATGAAGGAACTTGGCAACTCTTTAGTTGGTTGCTGTTCGGTTATAGGTGATCGGAACAGCCGAACTGGATCTCTAAGATCCTCTAGGCTCTGAGTTGTTTGTGAAGGAGAGTTGAACATTTCAGCCTCGATCGTGCACAGGCTACACATACAGATTCCTGAGTGCTTTCCTTTGTCCGTAGTAATGCAAGAGACACACGCTATTAAAGTTGCAGTAAAGAAAGGTTGGCAAAAGGGATGTGCTAATCTTGGGCCACTCGAATATCTGCTAATATTTGAATTATTTTCATGAGTTCACAGTATGTATATACATTTAAAATGCTGATGAAGGGCGCCTGGGTGGCGCTCAGTTGGTTGGGCATCTGCCTTCAGTTCAGGTCATGGTTCCAGGGTCATGGGATCAAGCCCCACATAGGGCTCCCTGCTTGGCGGGGAACCTGCTTCTCCCACTCCCCCCTCCCCACTTGTGCTCTCTTTCTCTCTCTCTCTGTCAAATAAATAAAAAATCTTAAAAATAATGAAGTAAAATGCTGATAAGGTTGGGTAAGAATTATTCTGGGGTCACCTGGGTGGCTCAGTCCATTGAGTGTCCCTACTCTTGATTTTGGCTCAGGTCATGATCTCAGGGTGGTGAGATCCTTAAGCCCCACGTCGGGCTCCATGTTTGGTTTGGAGCCTGCTTGAGATTCTCCCTTTCCCTCTCCCTCTGCACCCCCCCCCCCCCCACACACTCTGTTTTTCTCTCTCTCTTTAAAAAAAAAAAATTTAGGGGCACCTGGGTGGTTCAGTCGTTAAGCGTCTGCCTTCAGCTCAGGTCATGATCCCAGGGTCCTGGGATTGAGTCCCACATCCAGCTCCTTGCTTAGCGGGGAGCCTGCTTCTCCCTCTCCCTCTGCTGCTCTCCCTGCCTGTGCTCTCCTGCTCTCTCTGTGTCAAATAACTCAATAAAATCTTTAAAAGAAAAAAAACACAAAATTAATTTGATCATTCATGATCATTAATACCAATAAGATTCAGGACTAAGTAGAAGTAGCAAGACTTCATGAAGATGTGGGTTTAATGGGTAAATATAGAAATTCTTTTTTTTTTTTTTTTTTAAATTTTCGAGGCGCCTGGGTGGCTCAGTCGGTCAAGCATCTGCCTTCAGCTCAGGTCATGATCCCAGGGTCCTGGGGTTGAGCCCCGCATCGGGCCTCCTGCTAAGAGGCCTGCTTCTCCCTCTCCCACTCCCCCTGCTTGTATTCCTGCTCTCAATCTCTCTCTCTCTGTCAAATAAATAAAATCTTAAAAAAAAAAAAATTTCTTTATTCATGAGAGACAGAGAGAGAGAGGGAGGCAGAGGGAGAAGCAGGCTTCCCGCAGAGCAGGGAGTCTGATGCGGGGCTCAATCCCAGGATCCTGGGATCATGACCTGAGCTGAAGGCAGATGCTTAACCTACTGAGCCACCCAGGTGCCCTAGAAATTCTTTTATAAGTATACGTTGGTTGTCATTGTTCCCTTTTGAGTTTAGGCATCACGGTTTTCCTTGGTATGGTGTTTGGAAAGATTCTTTCTGTCCCTCCTCTCCTCTGATGCATGTGAAGTATTCCCAGAGGGCCGGCAGTGCTCTAAGGAAACATTGCTGTGACTTTGAGCATTGCAGAATTTTCCTGTACACAGGAATGTCATTTGTGTTTAGGAAAGTACATGACTCTTTCAATATACCAGTCTCAGAAGATAAGTAGAGATGTATTTGGTTTGAAATGGACTGGGTGTTCTCTCAAATTTTCATCTCTTTGTTCAGTTTTACAGTTACTTTTTTGTGTCTTTTGACCTTAGTGTCTTCGCTTTTATATTTTTGTTGTGCTTCTCACATTTGGGAACAAATCATTCTTTAGGTATGTAATGTTCTGAAGCTGTGTAAGGTAGCTTACCTTAAATTACTGTGTGGTATGAATAGTCACAATAAGGAAGATAAATCTTGAATTCTACTTTCAGGGGAGATCTGAATGGAATCTTAATTTTGTTTGTTTAACATCTCATCAAACTATAATTAGTACCACACCAGAAGCCACTTCATGCCTTCTTCCTAGTCATTCATTGTCTCCCTTTACTGCCAGAGATGAATTTTGATTGGTTTTGGACTTCATATAACCAGAATCATACAGCATATACTCTTGTTTTGCTTTTTGCTCTGTGTCTGTTCGAGTTTCATCCTTGTTGAGTGTAGTGGAGGGTGGCCCATCTCATTGTATGGGCCACCCTCCACTAAGTAGGACTTCCCTCTATCTGCATCTTATTTAACAAAGGCTATGTGTGATGAATCTTTGTGGAAAAAAATTAAAAAGGTTTTATATTTTATTTACATCTCCCAAACTTAAGTTCCAGTGACATTTGGGAGTAGTCAGAAGACCTTTTGAGTTAGTAATTCTGGGTGGGTTTTTTTTGTTTTTTTGGTTTTTTGGTTTTTTTGAGTTAAAGTGATTCTTGAACAAAAACTTAATTAGTGCTACACTCTGTGGTCAGGACGAGAATGACGACGACGATGACTGGAACCCCTGCAAAGCAGCAGGCGTGTGCCTCATGCTCCTGGCCACCTGCTGTGAAGATGACATCGTCCCACACGTCCTGCCCTTCATTAAAGAACACATCAAGAACCCTGACTGGCGGTACCGGGATGCGGCAGTAATGGCTTTTGGCTGTATCTTGGAAGGACCAGAGCCCAATCAGCTCAAACCACTAGTTATCCAGGTGAAGCTGAGGGAGTTTTGGGGTGAAAAGTGGGATATTTATTGTTTGAACTTTTTCCTTGAAAGTGTGCCCGTATTTTAAAAACAAAACTGTACATAGTCATCCAAAAAGGTTATTCTGGATTGTTGTTTGCTGTCAGTGAAGGAAGGATAAAACGTATTTCTTGACCTTTTTTTTTAAACAAAAGTCATGACTTGGAAAAATGCAGAAAAGGCTAAAAAGAAGTCCCCTTGAATCCCACTGCCCAGGGATAAACATTCTTAACTCTTAGTATTTATTTGTGTGGCATTCTTCTGTGTGCATGTATGTAGGTGGAACAGGATGGAGTTCTTACTGGGCAGTAGTCTTAGAACTTGTTTTTTCACTTCCTGCTGTATCACAAACCTTCCTATGATTTTTTAGTGATGTGATGATTCTGTCTTTAGGACAAAATAGTATCTATTGTAATGAAAAGTCTTGTGGAAATACTGTGTTTATTTTACTATTATAAGTGATACAAGGCTCCATTGTAATTGAGTTTAGCGCACATGGAACTCAGCCTTTCAGAATGTAGCCAGATGCCGTCACAGCTGCATCTAGATGCATCACCTGAGTGATTCAGTAAAAGACTAGTGGAAGCATTCATACTAGACTTTTAATAACACTCTATGCTGGGATTTGTTGAAGAGAGGACTATTTCACTTTTCACTTTAATTTTATTATACTGATGGATAGGTGACAGATGTGTCTTTTATAAAATGACAAACTGTCTTGACGCTGTGGGTTAAAACCCAACCATCAGGGGGCACCTGGCTGGCTCAGTTGGGAGGGTGTGCGACTCTTGTTCTAGGGATCATGAGTTCAAGCCCCACGTTGGGTGTAGAGATTATTTAAATAAAACTTGAAAAAAAATCCCAGCCATCAGTATTTTCTCTTCATCAACATGAATTTTAATCTTTGTTTTGCTCTGCTAATAACTGCTGTATTTGCAGGCTATGCCCACCCTAATAGAACTAATGAAAGACCCCAGTGTAGTTGTTCGAGATACAACTGCATGGACTGTGGGCCGAATTTGTGAACTGCTCCCTGAAGCTGCCATCAATGATGTCTACTTGACTCCCCTGCTGCAGTGTCTGATCGAGGGCCTCAGTGCTGAGCCCAGAGTGGCTTCCAATGTGTGCTGGGTAAGGCTTTCTTCCTACTGAGATCCGGAGCGGCGCTGAGCCATTCGCAAGGAGGTAGGAGGTGTGGGAGAGAAATGGGTCTCCCTCATTGGAAGGCCTTTTTTGAATAGCATCTCCTTCCTAATTTCTTCAATTAAAATGTGGGGGATGCCAATTGCATGAGCCAGTGGGAGCTGTTGACTCATGGTAACTGGTTCCCAAACCATTTAGAATAGTCATGCTAACCCAGTGGGAAAACTATCTGGACCTGGTTTTCTCTCTCAGTTGCTTGGGGACAAGAAATTTTGATTAAGGTAGAGAGTTCCTGCTACAAAAAGTACCATTGCTGAGAAGAGGGCAAAAGAGAAGGAAGGTAGGCGGCCCAAGTGCTGAGTCAGTACAGGCTGCTGAAGGTAGTTCATTAGGGCCCTTTGGGGGTATGGGGGAGGAAGTTCAGATAGGAAGGAGTGGGGCTAAAAGCCTTTTTGTAAGTGGAAAAAGAAGTAGTGGGAGGTGTTTGTGGTAGATAAAAAGTACTCTGCTGCTGAGAGAGTTTGGGGTGGGACAAACAATATAAATAAATATTTTGATTTTAAGGATGTCTGTAAAGAGATTGTCTGAGATGACCTTGACAAAAAAAGTTGAGGATTCACTAGCATTGATTTATTCTTAGATCAATTGGAAAGGAACACTGCCCATGGTATGTTAAGGAAAAATGAGGTTATCCTGGGGTAGGGTTCTTTTCAGGACTAATATTAACTCTGTCTGGACTTAAGGCTTTCTCCAGTCTGGCTGAAGCTGCTTATGAAGCTGCAGATGTGGCTGATGATCAGGAAGAACCAGCTACCTATTGCTTATCTTCTTCTTTTGAACTCATAGTTCAGAAGCTCCTGGAGACCACAGACAGGTGACTGATACTACACAGAAATGGGTGGTGTCTTTGCATCCAACTCCTTTTGCCCTGGATGAGGGGCATCTAGCCTAATCATAGGAACATAGTAACAGGAAACATTAAAAGAATCGTATAGTAGATGATTTAAGTAAGAGAAAGGGGCACTTGGCAGCTCAGTTGTTAGAGCATGCAACTCTTGATCTTGGGGTTCTGAGTTGAAGCCCCACATTGGGCTTAGAGATTACTTCTAAATAAAAACAGAGAGAAGAAAATACATGCTATGTCTACCTTAGAATGTTCAGGTTACAAGTCAAGTTAGAAGATAGTCTCATATAAAGAGGGATTGATCTGGGGCACCTGGGTGGCTCAGTTGGTTGAGTGGTTGAGGGTCCAACTCTTGATTTCGGCTCAGGTCATGATCTTGGTTGTGGGATTGAGCCCTGCATGGGACTATGCGTTGAGTGTGGAGCCTGCTTCGATTTCTCTCTCCCCTCCACTCCCCTCTCTCTTTTAAAATTTTATTCGTTTATTTGAGAGATAGAGAGAAAGAGGAGGGGGGAGGAGAGGGAGAAGCAGGCTCCCTGCTGAGCAAGGAGCCCAGTGCAGGGCTCGATCCCAGGACCCCAGGATCACGACCTGAGTGGAAGGCAGATGCTCAACCGACTCAGCCACCCAGGCACCCCCCGCTCCCTCTCTCTTAAAAAAAAAAAAAGAATTGATCTGGAGAGGTACCTTCATTTTGCAATATCTACAGTTAACAGGAATATTTGATTATCCTGTAAGGGAAATAAATAGTAGCTCTCATCATGAATTTAGTTGCCATGCCTGGTCATTAATCACTATTTCTGATAATAGATGAAGAACTTGGCATAAAATACAATTGTTTAATAGATGAGTTTTTGAAAATTTTTTAAGGTTTTTTTTTAAAGTCATCTCTACACCCAGTGTGAGGCTCGAACTCAACCCCGAGATCAGGAGTCACATGCTCTACTGACTGAGTCAGCCAGGCGCCCCTGAAATGTAGTTTCAGCCGGTTATAAGTTGGGACAACCTTTAATTATTTTGGTTTTATGTGAGCTATACCGAAAGCCGTGCTCAAAAGAAACCATGAGGAAGGAGGCTAGGCATAAACTCTTCCATGCTTAACTAGTTCCATCTCTGCTTCTCTGACCAAGAGTAGGTATAATAACCATCTCTCACGGACAAGTGAAGAAAATTGAGCTATCTTCCTCTTAGCTCTGTAGGTGACCTTGTCAGTTGTACACATGGGTCCTTCAGCATTTTAAACTAGTTTTTTCCCTATAATTTTAGCCCATTTCTGTAAGAGCCATTCTAAAGTGTAACCAGGTCTGGAGACCCATATAACGAACATAGCCATTGGCTCAGCAGTTGAAACTTTGGTTCCTGGTTGTATTGTGTTGCCAAACTCAAACCATGTTCACAACCATATCGATTTCTGGATTCCTTATTTTCCGTGGTCTACGTGGTAACAACTCTCTTCTTTCTCGGGTAAGACTTTCAGATTGCTGTTGTGTGTTCCTTACAGACCTGATGGACACCAGAACAACCTGAGGAGTTCTGCATATGAATCTCTGATGGAAATTGTGAAAAATAGTGCCAAGGATTGTTACCCCGCGGTTCAGAAAACTACTCTGGTTATCATGGAACGACTGCAGCAGGTGCTCCAGATGGAGGTGAGGCCGGGCTGGCGCGGCCGGACGGCGCCATGTTCTCTCTAGGTGGTGGTCACGTTTACGTGGAAGTGTGTTTTTCTCAGAAAGGTAGAATGCTTACACAAAAACTGTTGCCATTTAAAATTTGCATTGCTCATTTCAGTTTACTTATACATGTATCAAAATATATATTGAGGTAAGTTTTTTGTTTATTTCTTGCATTAGCATCAGTAAAGATTATTTAATGGTCCTGGCAAACCCAGCAAAAAACAGAAGCATTGAGGGAGTGTAGAGCTCTTTTAGAAGGTGTTTATTCAGAATATGATGGTGTTCTTTTCCTTGCAGTCACATATCCAGAGCACATCCGATAGGATCCAGTTCAATGACCTTCAGTCTTTGCTCTGCGCAACTCTTCAGGTACAATGGCGCTTTATTACTTACCAGTTCTGATGCTGATCAGAAACTCTTCTCGAAAGGCTTTCGTCTGTGGTTGATTGGGAGAGTGATTTTCGATTTTCCTTTCTTCTCTCTCCGTAAAAAGAATTTGTCTTTTGCACAGAATAGGGAAGGAAACTATTTGGTTGGTGGTAGTCCTCCCAGCTGTACAGCGATTTTGTGCTGGCAGCTTCTAGTCTTTGGTTTTTATTGGGTTGTCCAAATGTAGCCCAGTCAGATTTGGTTCCCAGCTGTGGTTCACTCGGCTAAAAATACAGCCTTGAGTTTCTACCATCATCTTGTGAAACAACGGTTCCTATTGGAAGCTTTATTATAATTCAAATCATTTATTGTACCACTTGTTCAGAGTAGACTTTTTTGAGGGGAGACTGGGAAGATTAAAATCACTCCTCATTCATGACTGGACTCCTGAAGTGACTGAGGTGCTATTCCTTATTTTACCAAAAATCAAGAAAACCCTAGAACTTGTCTAAGGCTTAGGTGGGTACTAGGTTTTAGTATTGAGTGATGCTAACTAGGTCATGTTCCCTGTGAACTCCGTTCTCATTCTTAGCCAAACTTAAAAAAGCCTGTCTGCTCTTTTTAAAATCTTGACTGTTAAGGTCTTTCCTTAGTCATCAGACAAATACAGGAATGATCTGGTAACATTAGTTGAAACAAATTAAAGCGTAAGAGGGAGGTTTGAGGAATATTGAATTAGGAGAGTTCAGGTTGGCTTTATTTTATCAGAACCATTTCTTGGGGCGCCTGGGTGGCTCATTCGTTAGGTGTCTGCCTTTGGCTCAGGTCATGATCCCAGGGTTCTGGGATTGATCCCCGCATCAGGCTTCCTGCTCGGTGGGAGGCCTGCTTCTCCCTCTCCCACTCCCCTGCTTATGTTCCCTCTCTGGCTGTCTCTTTCTCTGTCAAATAAATAAAATCTTAAAAAAAAAATATTTAAAAATTAAAAAAAAAAAAACAACTATTTCTTGACCATCATCAGTAAATAAGATATCATTGGAAGGATTGCTTCTGACTTTGTGTACCGTGGAAGATCATCTCGTGTTTGTGCTGAGTTGGGAAATAGAAGGGATATTAAAATGTATGTTTTGTTGCAGATGATTTACACTGTCAAAGCTTTTGAGCCCAAAAAGTGTATTTGGACTTTCCAAAAAAAGCCACGGGGTTCAGTTGATTTTTTAAAAAGGTATATATAGTGTTCTGATCGGTGGGTTTGGAATCAACAGATCCTGAACTCTTTTTCATTTCACAGAACGTTCTCCGAAAAGTGCAACATCAAGATGCTTTGCAGATCTCTGATGTGGTCATGGCCTCCCTGTTAAGGATGTTCCAAAGCACAGCTGGGTCTGGGGGAGTGCAAGAGGATGCCCTAATGGCAGTTAGCACACTGGTGGAAGGTCAGTGAGCCAAAATTGGGCAGGGAATGTCTTTAGGATGCAAGAGTTTCAATAGCCACGGGGAATTTTTGACCACAGAAAGCATAGTCCTGTCTTCTCATTTATTGGGGCATGACTTGAGTGCAAAGTTGGATTGAGTGTAAGTGTAAATTTGTGCATAAGTGCCTTGCCACTCTCCTTGAAATGAATGGGGAGCCAGCAGCAGCTGAGATCAGCAGGTTCCTTTTTTCCCCTGAAAGTCTACTCTCTTGATGTTTGGCTCCTTCTGAGGAGCGAGGAAACAAAGGTTTCCATTTTCTTTCCTGGCACTTGGTACCTCCTAGTTTGGGTTGTAATGCTTTGGACTCTAGGTTGACACATTGTGGTGCTCAGAATAGGATGGAGGGAAACATTGAGAGTTCTAGGAATTAATTGGTTTTCTGGTTGTTATATGTCAGACTATACAAAATTGCTTTGAGGAAGCCATGTCTGCTTAAGGCTCTTTGAAGGGCCATTAAAAGTGCATTAAAGAGCACTTAAGAAACCTGGAGTGCTTCTTCGGGGTTGGCCGCCTGTATGGTGTATACGCTGACCAAGTCTGCTACTTAAGGACCATTCCTGAGGACCAGACCTATTTCTAGCGTCAGGAGGTTCACTTTGGCCCCTGGAGTGGCTAATTCAGAAAGAAGCCCAGTCTGCTTTCCCTGGCTAGCTTGTAAAATAAGTCCTTGACGGACTTGCCCAGGGATGGACCCTGTTTTAAAGCTGGCCACCAGAGAAGACATGTTATAATCAGATGAAGAGGTGGCCAAGAGGCAGTATCATTAGCTCATCCAATCAAAATTAACCCTTGAAAAAAACCCATTGGTTTGTTGGTTTGTTTTAGCCAAAGTGAAATCCCACTCTGTGGAGATTTGGCATTATCTTCAGGGCATAAGAGTTAGGCCCTTCCAGCACTTAAGGAGTTGGCTTGTCTGAGACAACCTTATTGTTTTTGTGATAGAATCAGTAATTAACTCACACTCCACCCAACCTGTTGATTGGAGTGAAGACATTTTGGCAGAGCTGGCGTGGTTATTTTCGCTCACTTCTGTGATATCCTGTGGTGCTAACAGTTTGTTTCTCTACAGTGTTGGGTGGTGAATTCCTAAAGTACATGGAGGCCTTTAAACCCTTCCTGGGCATTGGATTGAAAAATTATGCTGAATACCAGGTAATCTTTGCTTTTCAAAAGAATACATTTGTATTCTCATTTATCCCTGATAACTACCTCATGGTACAAAGTCCAGGTAGTCTCTGTATTGTCTGCAGGTGTGGAACTAGAAGTAGTCGGTGAAAAAACCAGGATAGGAGATGCCCCAGCATAGCACCCTGAGAGCAGGGCTTTTTCCTTCTCTCTCTCTCTTTTTTTTTAACCACCATGCTCTTGCCACCATTATTCCTGGTGATTATTGTCATTTCCGTCCTTTGTTAATGATATCTTGGAGAGCATTAGCTCTTTTCTTGCCGTACGGATTGTTGTTAACGAACTAATCTCAGGGCTCCTGGGTGGCTCAGTCAGTTAAGCGTCTGAGTCTTGATCTCAGGGTTGTAAGTTCAAGCCCTGCATTGGGTTCCACACTGTGCATGCAGCTTACTTTAAAAAAACAAAACAAAACCAAAACCAAACTAATCTGAGAGAGGGAGGATGTTTTCTTCTTCAACTCTAGGCTCAAGTGATAAAGGACCAGCGGCTAAATAAAAATAACACCTTACCCTGTAGGTGGCCTCTTCTGTTTGGAAGATCATTTTCTTGATTCATTGCAGGTTTGTTTGGCAGCTGTGGGCTTAGTGGGAGATTTATGCCGTGCTCTGCAGTCCAACATCTTACCGTTCTGTGATGAGGTGATGCAGCTCCTGCTGGAGAACCTGGGGGTGAGTGTCTGCACACACGGTCTAATTTACGAGTATTTGAAGAAATTTGAAAAGATGCTTAAAATTAAGTGAGAGGGAGCTATCAGTTGCCAGAATGTTGGCTGTAGGCTCATGAAGAAGGGAATTGTTCATTTTCACAAGATGATTCTATAAAGTAAGGTTGTAAAGTTAATTAAAGGAACGCGTGCTCAGTACATGAAACGGGGGGCAGGGAGGCCAGTAAAGTGCATGTGTCCAGAGAGACTTAATTTTTGTGTATGCCCTTAAGGTCTGTACAAAGCGTATTAGTAACTGTTTATTATAAATAATGTTTCTTTAACGTTTGGACAGAATATTTTGGCTTTTATTAATTTGCTCTTCTCTCTTTTTTTTTTTCCCCTGGTCAGAATGAAAATGTCCACAGGTCTGTGAAGCCACAGATTCTGTCAGTGTTTGGTGATATTGCTCTTGCTATCGGTGGAGAGTTTAAAAAATATCTCGAGGTTGTCTTGAATACTCTTCAGCAGGCCTCCCAAGCCCAGGTGGACAAGGTAAGCTTCAAGCCGTCTTTTCAGTCCAGCCCTGATTGGATGAGTGGGACTTCTGACAGTCATACAGCTAAAGGCTCTTGGTATGATGGAGATTCTGTTTGTCTCTTACAGTCAGACTATGACATGGTGGATTATCTGAATGAGCTAAGAGAAGGCTGCTTGGAGGCCTATACCGGAATTGTCCAGGGATTGAAGGGAGACCAGGAGAATGTGCACCGTTGAGTATAAAACCCAATGGACTTAGTCCAGAGTTCATGTAGCCAAATGGGCTGTGTCTTCGGTTCTGTAGCTTGTGAACTAGCACCTATTGCTTAAAGGAAGCGGAGAAGGAACAGTACCCTCATGAAGAGAGAGTAGCTTTGGAAGAAGATACAGGCTTTCCTATTTCGCTCCCCCCCGCCCCCCGCTTGTCTCCCCTTTCTTGAGCATCGGAAGGGATGGGATCCAGCAAGGCTGTTGGTGCTGGTCATGATCTGCACCAACCCTGAGTGGCAGTTGTTGAGCACACACACACCACACGTAACACACCTCCAGTGCAGTTGAAGTAAAGGATTGGGAAACCATTTTCTCTTTCACCTGATGTTTCTCTTACTGATTGGGGAAATATTTGTCTTTTACCTCTTTTGCTATCATGGGCTTAGAGGGAGGGTTCCGTTCCTTCTTTATGATTTCTGCTTGTAATAAGAGGAATGAATATCTGCCTCTTCTGTTGGTGTAAAGAATGACCTCTTAATTTGAGGAAGAATAGTTCAGTATAACTATAAGCAACTAATTCTCCAGCCTGAAACACCTGCCTCATGGGGGGGGTGGGTAGTGTATTTGGAAATTTTGAAATGGGTGGTCCTGCCAAAGGTGGGACAGCTTCATCAGACCTTCTCTTTCTATTATAGCGGATGTCATGCTGGTACAACCCAGAGTAGAATTTATTCTGTCTTTCATTGACCACATTGCTGGAGATGAGGATCATACAGACGGAGTAGTAGCTTGTGCTGCTGGACTGATAGGGTAGGTTAAATCCTATTTCCAACAGCTGAATAGAATTTCTCTTGGAAAGTGAGAAGCCCTGTGGTAAAGAACTTTGAGGGTAGCCTGGATGGTAATTACCCCCTTCTTTGATACAGATATTTCTTTAATAGAACCCAAGGTGTCCTGTTTAGAGTTCTCACAGATGATCATTCATTGCAGACCTTAGCTCTAGTCTCATTCCAGACCCTCCAAATTTCTAATTTCTCTTCGCTGAACTCTGTGGAGTTCTCAGAGGTATAGACGCAGCATCAGATCTGTGTCCCTCCTATATTGAGGTTGGTCAACAGATTGCCTATGTTTAGGCTCTACGGAAAGTTTGAGGCATCATTAGAAGAAAGAACCATGAATTAGTTGTGGAACTCAGAGTAAGTCATCCTGACTCTTTAGACCTCAGTTTTTGCATCTGTTTAGGGAAGGTGCTGAACTTATCCCTAAAATTTCTTCCAGCTTTAAAAAGTAGGTGAATTCTAAGAGACCCAAACTATCTTAGCACTGGCTGAAAACAGGATAGCGGGATGAGGCTGGGAGCTCATTCTCAGGTGTGTTTATTTTGCACAGGGACTTGTGTACAGCATTTGGGAAGGATGTACTGAAATTAGTAGAAGCTAGGCCAATGATCCATGAACTGTTAACGGAAGGACGGAGATCGAAGACTAACAAAGCAAAAACCCTTGCTACATGGGCAACAAAAGAACTGAGGAAACTGAAGAACCAAGCTTGGTAAGAGCTTGTCTCCACTGCCCTTTCTTTCTTTCTCAGGGAGGAGGCACAGTTTCTTCAGACTGTTCTAACAAGGGCTGCCTTTCTCTTGGTACTTTGTTTTGTACCCTTTCCCATATAAGCCTGAGGAACAAAGGCTTGTACTAGTGGAAGGGTCGGGCACCCTCAATCTTTCCTTGAGCGAAATGTTTGATTACTCATGGTGATGAAGAACAGAACTTATGTAACTAGAATTTAGTGAAGTCCCCAAATGATTTTTGGGTCCTAATAAAGTTACCGGTAATGGCATTTTGCCAGAATTCTCTTTTCTACTTTCTATTCCCTTCCTCCTGCTCTTTACTTTTTTTTTTTTTTACTGCAGTGCTTTTAGACATTGTGTGGCTCTGCAGAAGATAGCCACAGTCAAGGGTTGTCTGACCCCTGCTTTCAAATGTAGTTTTAATTTATTTTCCTCTCACATGCTCATCATCTTACTCCAAAGAGCTCAGTAAAACTGGCTATTTTGAGATTTATCTTAGTGTCCCTGCCACCCTCTAATGTAGGTACAAATGAGAAAAGGCAGTTGGCGCATAGGAAAACAAGAAAAATAATCCTCGAAAAGTTAACAGATTCATTTCGGGTTTATGAGCACTTAATTGTGGGAATCAGAGGCATTGGCTCTCCTGGCTATCTGTGATCTCAAAACTGACCTGTTTTCCATCTGTGTTTTTAGATCTGTTACCATTGGGATGATAACCTGAGACCCCCACTGGAAATCTCCAATCTTTTGAAAAACCCGGAAGTGAGGAGTGTGCACGGATGCTGAATGTTTGGGAATGAGAGGATGAGTGAGTGAGGCTTGAAAACACACCACACTGAACATCCTGCCGCAGCCACTGGCCACCGACAGCAGCGCTGTTAGTGAGCTAAGTAAGCACTGGCTTCGTAGAAAACCGTAACGTCGGCCATCTCGGAAAAGAGCAAAACGATGGATTTACTTGCTTAGAAAAACAAAAAAGAAAGTTATCTCTTCCCAGGAGAGGCTAGAACTAGCTTTTCTGTCTTTCGGCCGGTGCCAAGTGGAGTGACTGGTTTGGGAGAGGAGGAGGGACTGGGTTCAGCTGTGGTGCTTTGTTGTAAAAGGCAGCCTGGCCTTTGCTACTGATAAGGAAGATGGAGCCTGGGTCTCAAGCCCCCCTTTGGTGTACCTTTGCCGCACGGTACTGTTTGCGTGCCGGCTAAAAGGAGGGTGAGGGATTCTTTACAGTCTGAGAATGAGTGTGTGTGAGTGAGGCGGTATCCACATTCTCAACTTCAAGTCATTGCAGTTTCTTTTTCCCAGAAAAAAAGGGGTTAGATGTTGCATTTCATAAAACTAACCGAAGTTCTGTCTACTGATGCAGCACAAGAGATGTGTAAAAAAAAAAAAAAAAAGGAAAGACGCTCTTTAGGTTTTGTTTTTTGTTTTGTTTTTAATTATCTTCTAGGGAAAACACTGACGAATGGTCAGAGCTCCCGTATCCTGATCTTTTCATCAAGGCGCCTTTCCTAAATAATATGGTTCAACTGTGAATGTAGAAGTGGGGGGGAGGGGGGAGAAAAAGAAAACTCTGGAGTTAGAGGATCTAGAACAAATTCAGATACAGTTGTTACAAATAAAGGACGCAAACTTCAAAAACAAAACAAAGCCACAACCCAAACAAACCAAAATTTTAGATGCTCAGAATTGGCAGCACAAAAGAAAAGTTCTCTCCTGACAGGTATCGTGGTAGTCTGAACACCCCCAGAAAATTGTGCCAAAGAGTTTAGAAAACAAATACACGATAAAAGTACACACACGCACACACACCTGCACACACAGCAAACTTCAGGTAACTATTTTGGATTGCAAACGAGGATAAATTTAATGTTCAAACAATCTGATAAAATAACCATTTGGAAACTGCTTGGCCTTCTGTTCTCTTTTATTTGATTTGTGACTACAATGCGGTATTGGTCTCTTGCTGCACTTCAAAACCAACTAACCAACAAAACGCAAAAAACAAAAGTGTGTATATATATATATATATATACACACTAGAACTCTTGTGATGAAAATGGCACTTGGAAAGGGTTTAATTTTTCCACTGAAGGTGAAGATTAATAAAATGGTGTCACACATTCCCCTGGTCACACACACTAATACTTTTTTGGAAGTGTGATGTGTTATGAGAACCATAAATCAGACTAAGTTATTTTCCCTTTTACAAGGGAATAGGGCACCCTGAATTTTGGTTTTAGAATCTTTCAGCAATAAGGAGGGATGTCGGTGAGCTTTGATCCCCTTTTGGTTTTGCAGTTATTAGGATTTTTTGCTGGCATTTTGAATATGCTGCTTTCAGAAACCCCAAGGAAGATTTTTAATTGCTTCCTGGTATTTGGAGGATTAAAACACAAGACCTTAAATTCCCACTTTCATTTCCATTCTAGCAAAAAATGTGGGCTTACGTTTTTTCTCTTTGCCATTTTCCCTCCCCTGTCTAAGCCTTCCATTCATAAGTGGGATTGGCTCAGTTTTGCTCATCCATATGGCAGCATCTCTAATAGCTCTTGTACAGGGTATCAGATATTGTGCCTTTTGGTGCCAGGTTCAAAGTCAAGTGCCGATCTATGAACCAGTGTACAAAAAAAACAAAAACAAAAAACAGGTGTTTGAAGGAAAGACTCCATGTGAATAAAGAGTTTGCACCACCTCCTAAGCCCTACTAAGAAGAGACCTGACCCTCTAATGCCTTGTTTAAATTCTAGTTGTTTCTTGAAGGAGAGGATGATACACTAACCATTCCTGATAGGTAGGGGTTGGTCAGGACTTAGGGAGGGTGCAGGAATATTGGGGAGAAAAAAAATCTGATCATTCCTCAGTGCTACCCGTTTCTGTCCTGTGTGGGCTGCTTAGCTAGACAGCAGGAGAATAAAGTACACCAAGAACCATAATGGAAACAAAACCTTCCGTGTGTTTTGTCATGTTTTGTTCCAGGGAAGCAGTTGACAAGTGCTGTTATTAACGCTTTCTCCCAGATCCATTCAGTGATGGAGGAGGAAAGTGGGCTGGTTGGACTGTGGTCTTGGTGCCTTGCAGGCATTCTACACTGGTTATGCATTTAATCCTCTCTCCCAGTTACCTTTGGCTAGTGGGCTTTCCAGAGTCTGGGTATGTTCCGTAATTGTACCACCCAAGGCAACTGGATGCAAAATGCATTCTGTCCACTCACTGGGCCTTCCCCACGCTAGTCTTGGCACATTCCTTCAAGAACGTAGTTACCGTCCGCTTGGGAAGAGGTCAGTGCAGATGAGAGGAAAAGGGGCATCCATCGGACTAGGCTTTGGTCTCCCACAGGTGGCAGCTGCCTGTATCAATTACAATTACACTTCGTGATTCCGCTTTTCATTTTCCCGGTTCCCCTCTGCTCCCCTCCGTTGAAATGTTGAAATTTTGACTGTCAGAGGCAACTGTAATACTGCCTTAGGGACTTGTGGAGAAAGGGAGGGGGATTGCTCAGTGTAGTGTTTTCACTTTCAGAACCAAGTAATCCAGTCACTCTGATATTTAAGAAGTGTGTTCGTCTGACTTTTAAGAGAAATTTCAACTCCATCAGCTTTTGATAGCATCTTGGTTTCGAAACAACTTCAGTCTGTAATTGGCATTCAGAATGCCCTTGGCATGCCAGTCTGTGATGGCATTAAAGACCTGTTAAAACACTTGAGCCCAACTTTATTAACCAAAACTGATACCACCACCTTTATCTTCTAAATAAAGTCCGCTTTATTTTTATTTTCAACATTTTGCCGCTTCATTTTTGGTTCCACATGGTGTCACCTTGGAGGTGAAATGAATGGTTTGAAAGGAGCTGGAGTGCGCGGTGCTGGTGTGCGTGTGCGCTGGGGAAAGGAAGGAGGACACGTCGGTCTGGAAAACGGACTCCACACGGTGTGACGGGAAGTGAATGAGCGGCTGGCCTCCAGTGCGGTCGTGCGCAAGCTGTGGGGAGGAGGCTTCTGCTCCGAGTGCTTCTGGAACTGCTGGAGATCGTCTTCTGTCTTGTGCATAGTTTTCAGGCTAATCTGGTTTGTTTAATGGCTCATCCAAAATTGGCTTTTTCCGTAGCTTGCAGTGTGTATTTAATTTCTACTTCCACTTTTTTTCGCCCAGAAATTTGTAGCAGAGAGAACACTAACTTGGGATCTAAGAACTAGGTCCATTCCTTCACTCTGTTGCTTATTAGCCTAGTGGCGCCTGCAGGCTACTTTCTGGAAATAATGCACTTTCTTAGTTTATGTTGGGCAGGTACAATGAGGGCTGACCATAATTTTCTTCCCTTAGCCTCCACGTGGCCTTTCACTTTTCTGATTGCACCCCCGTCAGAAATTTTTGATCATGCATACCCCCCTGTGTTTATAAATTATAAATCTGTACTACTGTACCCATATATTGTGTAACATAAGACACAAAAATAGATATTAAAAGGCGGTTATATGAAAAATAAATACAAATAGAAGTTCTAATATTTTATTTCTATGCCCAATTTTGGAGATGACTGGGTTATAAAGGGTAACTTGTAATTCTAAGACTGCATTAAATCCTGAGTGATGGCAGTGGGCCAAGAACGTTTCTCCACTGAGGGTAACCGAGAGGAAAGAAGGTCATCAGTTCATTATGCGGGGAAGGGCTGCTTCTCCCAGGAACTTTTTTTATCCTTTTCAATAGTTCTCCAGGTAACTCCCCATTCCCACATACCCCCTCCCCAGCAAACAAAAAGAACACACACTATGAGGTTGCAGTTCCCACATGGCCCCATCAAGGGTTCCAGCTTGACTTGTCGGAAGTGAAAAACACTAAACACTGAGAAAATGTTACATGTATTATCACTTGTCACAGCAACCTTAATGATCCCTGTTCCCGTTTTACTGATGAGAGAAGAGGTGCACACAGAATGATTGGTCAGACCAAGGTCACATGGAGCTCGAATTCCAACCCAGGTCTGTCAGATACCAGAACCCAAGCTTTTCTCACACATGCCTTAGATGCTGTCAGCATCTTAGGGACACAAAACAAGGGTCTGTGCTGTCATACGATGCGCCATCCATCTCCATAGCGCTATCCAAAAATGTATTTTAAATTGTTATTTATTGCCAGTTTTCCCAACTATAACATAAGCACCCTGATGCAGTGACCTTGGCTGGCTGTCATACCGCTGTATCCCCTGTCTAGAGCAGTGCCTGCCATATAGTAGACCTTCAGTAAATGCTTGTCAGTACAGTTTGGGGAGTTTCTGGAATAACATCACTTAGCCTTTGAAAGGCAGAGTATCCAGAAGCTTGGGAATGGCAGGGCCTTGGGAGTTCTGGGCTCCTAGCTCTTCCCCCCCGCCCCCCTCCTCATTTGCTGGACGACTTCAGGCCAGCCTCTTAGCCTTGGGTTAATTGGAGGAATGGGAACAGGATTAGCCCAGGGTTAGTCGTTATGTTGGTGGTTATTTCATGCATTGACCCAATGCCAGGCTTGTAATCAAGCATCTTACGTAGAGGGGTAAAAGTAATCCTCTTGAGTACTAACAAAGGTACCATTTTAGTCCCATTTTACAGGTGGAGAAACAAACACAGGGGCTGAGAACCTTGCCGAAAGTCATGCGGCCATCAAGCAGTGCTGACCCCACAAGCTGTGCTTGTCCCGCTGCGCTGTTGCAGACCGGGTGGGGTGCAGGTTACAGGATGAGCACAGGAGCCTCGGTTCCCCGCGAGCTTACCCTGTGCGAGCAAGGAGAGCCCAGGAGGAAGCGTTCTTGGAATTAAACAGCAAAGCCATTTGCCTTAGTTCAATAATGAGATCCACTGTACACCTTTTGACGATGGTCAAACTCTTAATTTAGGTGTTGGGAGTGACATTTTTCCCGAAGGTCAACTTCCCTCCCACTTGGGAGTTTGAACCATCTCCTTGCACTCACCTGTCTTCCCGCTGAG